CGGGGGCGGCGCGGGGGCGGGGCCCGCCCCAGGACTTGCGTCCTCCGCGCAGGCGGAGCATCTCCTCAACGCCCAGGCCGGCGAAGGGCTGGTGCAGCTCGGCCTTCCAGGAGCGGGCGCGGGCGTTGACGGCGCTCACCACGCGCTCGTGGTGGGCCCTGCTGAGGTGGGCGGCCTGCAGTCCTGAAAGGGTTGTGCGTAAGGTGATTATAATATGTCATGAGAGAGTGGTGTTAGTTGTGTGCACCAACGCCCACTTATGTCCTCGCTTATGTCTGCTTACCTTGAGGGTGGAAGGGGTCAAAGTGGATCTTGGGTAGCATCTTGCTGCCAGACTTCTGCCCGTAGAAGCAGCTCCAGTGGCGGATGTTCACGTCGTGCGCCAGACCGGGGACGGTCTTGTGGCAGTAGCTCGTCACCTTCTGGCCCTCCTGAGGAATCAAACGAGCTCTGTCAGCGACAGGACAGCGCGTGGAAGTAAGAGTAAGTACAGTCGAGTTGAAAATCTATCGCACCTTCTTGAAGGCGGAGTAGCCGAAGTAGCTCCTGCCGTTAACGTTGATGTGGAAGCCCTGGTTGTACACCATGGTCCAGGTGCCCTCGTTGCCGAACTGGTCGACGACCTTGTTGGGGGACAAGAGGGTCACCCGAACCTTGCGCTCCCATGGTCCTGCGGGTCGAAATAAGGTGAACCTTTAGGTTAGGTGGTGACCGCGAGCGCTCCGCGGACGAGAGTCTATCGAGTCTATCGGACTGTATACAGCCGCGAGCGAGCGCGAGTCAGGCCGACCCCGCTCATCAGGATGAGAAGGCCGCCGACACATTGTCCCGTGATCACTGCGGTCGTCCCAGCGAGGCCTCCGCCGCATTCTGGAGCGGTAGGTACGCTTCAGAGTTGTATCATTATCACTGGGTTTTCAGTTGGCGACCGCCGCCGCGCCGCACGGACAGGCTCGAGTAGGCCGCGATTGCTTTCCACCCTACTTGCAGCAAACAAAGTGATGACAACGACCGAACCGAGGAGATAAGGCAGTGCGGGGGGTGGGGTGAGCCGGGCAAGCATCATCCGCAGTATCGATTGGCACTCAGAGAAAATGTCGTGGGAGCGGGGAAAATGACACTTTTTGCCTTTGGATGAAAACAAGCTGTCGCAGCGTTCGATGACGCAGGTAGGTACGCACCTTGGTGGTTAGCGCAGCTGGCTCCAGGCTTGACGCCGCGGGGACCCTCCCAGAGGGTCCACTTTCCCGCCACGTCCTCGAAGGTGCAGTTGGCGGGCGTGTCGGCGGCCGCGGCGCCCAGGACCGCCAGCACGGCGAACAGCTCCAACCAGCGCGACATCTCGGTGGACTCTGAGGAGGCCGAGGCTGGCGGCGGGGAGGGCGGCGGCGACCACTGCAAGTTCCTCCCCCACCTCTCCCCCTTTCCCCGGGTGATCCCTCCCACCCTGCCTCCCCACTGTGCCGCCGGGTGATAAGTCGGGATAGGGAGTCATCGTTCGATCCCACGGGTCACTGGTGATGCTGGTGATCTGTGGATTCGCCATCGTGTATAGTAAACGATCGAGCATCTTTTGGGAGTGCATTGCAACCGATAAAGTTCCTCCAGTGTAGGGTCAGTGAGGGGAAGACTGTTACACTTCATAGTCCGTTGATCTAGTTTTCATGCTTTTGGGTATAAACCTCGGTATAAACGCGCATATGTGCTCATATACTCCTCCTTTAACACGGTTTCCTCGAAACATATCTCAGACATTGTTTTTACGGTGTATAGTTATCGGTCGCCTCTGCTTTGCTGCCGTAGTGGGGGCAGAGGTCAGCGGCCAGTGGCGGCAGGCGCGACGCGGACTGACCAGTCGTCACCAGAAGGCTCGGTCATCACGCAATTTGCGCGCCAGCTCTGCGCTCCGCCGTCTCAGCCCGGAGGTGCAACAGGTATCGATCGCCCTGCACGAGAGATAACTCGACCGATTGACGCACAGTCGGCTATTTATTGTACACTGAAAAACGTAACGTAACGTCAGTAGTACATAAAGTCGGGCTCGCCGGGCTGCCCCTTTCGCAGGTAGGCGCCCCCGTAGCGGTCCCAGTGCCCGGGGCCGGCTCTGGCTCGGGCTCGGGCGCGTAGGTCCTGTACGATCTGCTCGGTCACCCTGCGGCGCTCCTCGAGTAGCTGGCGGTAGACCTCGGGGTGCATGTGGTGCCGCATGTCCGAGTCGCTCTCCCCGTTGACCGAGGGTGGTGACGGCCACCTCGATGGCCGTCCCGGGAGCCTGTCGCCGCGAAGCCGCCCTCTCTCGTGCTCTTGCTCGATCTCCTGCGGGCGCGTTCTGGGGCCGAGTTTCGTGCCGCTGTTTGGAGAGTACGAGGTCGTCATTCCACGAGCCCCATCCATGCGAATATACCCAACCAACCTGGCTGCCGGCAGACGGCTCACCATTTCGAGCAGCCGAACCACACCAGCTCCAGGATGAACATGACGAGGCCCGCCGCGCAGCCAATTCCCAGCATCTTGAGGAAAGGCACGAGCTGGCGCATCCGCAGCACAGGATCTAGCGTGGCGGTGTACTGCATCTCCTAATACAACACACATAACAAATAAAAATCATTAAAAAATTCAGAGAAACAATTTTTTTTAAA